GTGCAAAGAACCCAGCAATTCTCAGCTTTTTCGTCATTACCGAAAGAACCCAGTTAAATGTACCGCATGCGCAGTAAGCCAAAAAATTGCGATTGAATGGAAAATTGCTTTCTCGGAAATATGCCTATTTCTTGAGAACCACTCATTAGAATTTCATGAAATTTGGCACGAAAAAACTTTAGGAAATAAGTAGCTGGAGTATTGAAAAAATTGATTTTAACAAAGGAAATTGTAGATAATGGAGTGAACCTTCAACAAGGGATAAGTAAAGATCTCTCAGTTAAATTGTTAGCAAAATGGTGTTAACTTGTGAGTATCGTTACAAGCTCGTTGCATGCAAATTATAAAGAAAATCTAATGACTAGATTTCCTACAAATGAAAATCCCCGATTTTAAAGGCCTGTTTATATTATTTCATGTTGCCATGGTAATGGCACATACGTCAGCTTAACTATAAAAAAAAAAAAACAAAGTTTGTGTTGTTAACTTGCTTGCTGCCAGTTTTGGCAACCGAGAGATCAAGGGTTTTTAGAGAAAATGGTGAAAGAAACACGGGTTTCAAAAACTGTGTTCAGCCACCTTAACCCTTTCCCTTCCAAGATCTCATGAGTAAATTCTCCTTACTCTCTGCCATACAATTCTTGGGAGAAATTGGTATTGGATCAACTAATAATCCCCTAATTGATTTTTTTCTTTGTTCTCGTTACTTGTCTTCTTGATTTTGTTGTGATGTTTTAAAGAGAAATGCTGTCTTGGTCACTCATGGCAGTGACTGGGTTAAGCTATATGTTAACTGACATTTGTTTCCAAAGCTAAAGATTAGTTACCAATTAGTTATTAGTTGATGAGAGCCTTTGCCCTTCTGACTTTAATCAGGAGCGCCCCATTGCAGCTATTTTGATTAATTGATACTCATTTTAAAACATTTTTCTGTAACACAGAATAGCAGCACTGCAAGTAATGTTGTTATTGGTCCATCTTATGACGCTTTTAAGAAACATGGTAGGTTTATGAAATGCAATAATGAACCTTTTTTCAAAGTGCCATCATTCCATGCATTAGTCAAAGTGTCTCGTAGAAAACAGGATTTTTAAAACCATTCAGAGGCTATCGTTTCAGCCGCATGGTTAATAATAGTTTCACCTATCACCACTTGAATCTTCGTTGCCGAAAACTACCCGGAACGAATGGCAATGGAGCAATTTTCCATCGAGTGAAGAAATGTATTGTTGATGGCGCAGGTTCTTCTTTATTACGCTCTGTGATAGGCTAAAAATTATCTCGCCATGTTTTCTGAACCAAACAGATGCAAACTGAAAACCATTGAAATCAATCACGTTTTCCTGCGCTTTAGCCTGGGCTGTCGGTGTTTTTTTTAACTTCGCGTGGTCTCCTTGTGAAATTTTTCCTTGTTCTTATTTGATAAACTTAGTTTTAGCATCTAGAAAAAAAAGAGTCCTTTGCCATACCTCTGGCTCTGGCTTCTCAAAGTGGTTTTTAGGTGAGCAACAACATATGATATTTTTTTTCCCGGGATTTTTTTTTTTCAGTTGAGAAAACGAAGAAAATAAACCACAAAAACCCTCAGCGAGTTGGCGCAAACTTTGACCGAAAAAGAGAGACCAGTGATGATTGGTAGGTTTATGAATTGTTTTAAAAGAAATCTAGTTCCGAATTCCAAAAAGATGCTTTTAGAATTTGAACAATGTTAAAACATTGTTCAAATCTCACTCTGCACTTACTTCTTGCGAATATATATATACATTATTTTTTGTGCACTTACCCCAATTAGCATTCCGTCCCTTCTTTGTTTTTGCTTTTGTTCTTCGCTTTCTTCAGTTCGTTCCTTCTGAAATTGCCCAAAGCAAGTTTGTTTGGAGCGTCAAAATTGATCTTGGATTTTACTGGTTTTGCTTTACAATTTTTAATTGTACACATGATGCACGATCCTCGCAGTAGATAGCGCTATTTAAGCAATAGCGAAAATCAGACCTGAAAAAAATCAGGCCTGTACGGGATTCGAACCACTGACCTCTGCGATACTAGTGCAGCGCTCTACCAATTGAGCTAACAAGCCAACTGGGAGCAGGCCGTTAAGTTGATTCGTAATAAACCCGTGAAAGTGATAAATGAGATACAATGAAATATATGAAGTTCATATATTTTGTACTGCGGTATTAGATACATATGATGCACGATCCTCGCAGTAGATAGCGCTATTTAAGCAATAGCGAAAATCAGACCTGAAAAAAATCAGGCCTGTACGGGATTCGAACCACTGACCTCTGCGATACTAGTGCAGCGCTCTAGCGATTTTCGCTATTGCTTAAATAGCGCTATCTACTGCGAGGATCGAGCATCATATGTATCTAATACCGCAGTACAAAATATATGAACTTCATATATTTCATTGTATCTCAATTTTTAATTGTGTTGGGATTGCGTTGGTTTTTCTTTACTTCGCTCTGTAATTGGTCCAGAAAACTCGCGCTCCTTTCTCAGCCAATCACATGCAAAACTAATCTTGGTCGCCCGTGTTTTCCCGCTCTTTCGGCAGTTTGGTTGTTTTTACTTTGAGTTCTCATGGGATCTTAAGAGGTATTTCCCTTTATTATTAGTGGCCCTTCTGATTACTTTGGTTTTTCTTTTGCGATTCTAACTTGAAATGTGCTCTAAAATAATTGCATCGTTGTTCCTGTTTTTTGTTGCTGTTTTCATATGATTTGAATAACGTTCTTACGGTCGCTCCATACCAGCCTGGTCAGCGGAACTTGCTCGGTTGATGATCGACTTACCACACTATTGTCATGGAGGGATAGAAGTTTTTTTTTTTTTTTTTTCCAACTTAAAAATTAGTTTCGTTTCTAGAGATGAGACTAGAAGTATCAAGTCTGATTCATTTCATCCTCTTCTTGTTTCATCATACAACTGAGCTCAATTTTTTTCGTTCTTGATATTATTAAACAGGGCTGAAATCTCAGCTCTCAGACGGCGATGAAATTGCCTTGTAACGAACCACAAATTTGACGGGAACTAGTTTGATTCGTCGATTACTATTTACTGCTTTTGTTTTAGGTTGCCTTCGTTTGGCAGGGTTTGGAATCATGGCCCGCGCTGGCAGTCGAGGTAAAGCATGGAAATTTCGCTTCAACTATGTCAGTTTGTTTTCCACTCTGTTCTAAACTTTCTCCATTTTTTAACAGACACGATTTTCGATGGGAGAACAAAAAGGCAAAGAAGAAATAATGAAATATCACGATTTGAATAAATCACTTGGAAGGGAAGCAAGCTCAATTTTTGACTGGTTAAAGAAATATGTATGGACTAATTTGCGCCAAACGAGGACGGGCGAGAACAGGTGAAATTCTCATTCCTAGAGTCCTCGTTTCAATTGGTCGCATAAACGGCTTTTGAACTAGACAACAAGTAGTCCCCCTTTTTCGGCGAAGTCCGTCGCGCGATTAAAAAAAATCGTGATAAAAAGTTGATGTAGGCGCGCTGCAGGAAGTCTTGGAGTGACGCGAATGCGCCGCGGGGAACTCCATGAGTTAGGCGCTTGAAAGGTAGGGCGCCTAACTCACGGAGCTCCCCGCGGCGTATCAGGGTCACTCCCAAGAGTTCCCTGCAGCGTGCCAACATCGATTTTTTTTTCACAGATTTTTTTTTTCACTCGCGCGACGGACTTAGCCAAAAAGGAGGGACTACTCGTAGCTATCACAAAAGCTATCTGCTTTTGACCAAACGAGTGGCGCTAGGGTTCCGAATGGCTGGGGAAGATTCGGCACGATGTTCGTCACCGCGGCCACTTTTGCACGCTCCTTTTTAGGCTTGATACCAGCACCGTCAGGAAATGAGCCCCCCCCCCCCTGCTGCCCCAAATCGGGATGATCGAGGAACGGTTCCAAGACAAAGGAGGAAATCGAACTTAGTACCCTATTGTCTTAAAGCTACTTAGCTCTCTTGTTTCCGGTGGGATTACTTTTTTTTTTTCTGCTTTACTTCGCTCTGTGATTGGTCTAGAAAACACGCGCCATCTTCTGAACCAATCAGACGCACAACGAAGACCGATCGTGACTCGGTATCCAGCGTTTTCCCGTGTTTTTGGTAGTTTGCCAGTTTTTACTCTGCCATCTCATTGGCTAGTGGGGATGTTATCCTTTGCTAGGATTGGCTGCTGTGATAGCTTTGTTTTTCGTTAATCGACAGACATTTGGAAACTGCTCTACAGTATACATCACATGGAAATCTTACAGAAAGATTCAATTTTATGTAGCGTCACTTCGAGGTGGAAGCCTTCAAGAGTAATATTTTGAAAAGTTTTTAAAGTATGTCAATAAAAGAAAGGACAATTATGATCTGTTTTGATAGCGCAAGGGACAGGATCAAGTAAATAAGGTAGATCACATGCCATGTGCCCAGTCTTGTATAGACATCACATGTTTCAATTCCTCACACGATTGTTCGCGGAAAACATCGTTGAACACGCCCGCCGTGTCGCGTGATACAGGAACAGCCGGTCATGAGGAATCAACAAAAAGTTTGCCATCGCCACAAAGAAAAAAATAAACAATATTTCTTGTGATGAATTTTCATAAATTCGAAGACATTATAGAAATTTGTCGTCTCTCCCTCCCCTCCCCTCCCCTCCCCCCCGCCCAAAAAAAGAAAATACCTGAAAATAATGGGCAAGCTTAGCAAAAGTTATGGTAAAGGTGGTGAAGAAACTGTGGTGCTGCGTCACTGGGGGGTATCCCAAGGTAATCCGATTGTAGCAACTGAGTTGATAATGTAAATTGGTCACTATAAAGAGTTCCTTCTTATTAGTACTTTAGTTTGTAGTTTGTAACGTTTGATCAATCAACTTTTGATCGTCACCACTGTTTTTGTGCCATCATCATTTAAGTGAAAAGTGCAAATAGTGCGCTTCGATTCACGCCGCGCCCCAATACTTGATAGACACCTTTGAATGCCACTATATTTAGTCTCCTGTTGTTCAATAAAGTCACCATATGGCTGCTTCCCCCGCAAATGAGGCCGATATGCATTTCGATAGACGGATAAATTTCGCTTAAAAATGATTGTCCAGTCACGCGAAGCTTAGAACTTGTCAAAGCGATAAGCAAATCATCGACTCGAGTTTCCATGAAAATGAAGAGCTGAGCCAGTGCAGGTAAAACAATCTGGTTGGATGAAAAATTGAATACGGCGGGGTGAATGTATCTTTTCTTCATTTTAATTTCATTCCTTTACTTTTTATTTCCGCCAGAGCCACCCCTTTCTTTCGGCGACTAAAATCACTTTGTAAGAATTATTTTCATTCAAGTTATATTTTGTTCTCGGAGTGTTTTGGCAGGGAGTTGTTAGCCAGGTTTTGATCAGCTGGTAACAAAACTTTCCTGCCCTCAGAAGTTCAAAGTGCACAGAAAAGTGGGAAACGTCGAGGCCTACGGTTTGTCACATGTATAGGGTGTGGTAGACTGGTAACTAGTTTGCTCTTGGAGAAAAAAAAAATTATAGCAGGTAAATTTGAAAACACCGTTTAGTCCTGAAATCTTAGGATATTTCAGCTTATCTCAAGACATCAGAACACCATAACTGTTTTCCACGTGAATGGTCACAGAAAAATAAAATCGAAAAAAAAAATCAATTGACTTTTCAACCCAGCGTTTCCATCAGAAAGTTACAGAGGAAAATAACCAATCAACGATTTTGAACTCACCAAAATCACGTGTTTTGTTACATGTCGGTACACGTGATTGACCTGACCCTTTCGGTTTTGATAGACGGTTTCCAACAGTAACGAAAAAGGGCGCTGGAAGGGAAGCCGAGATGACGTACCTTATCATGTGATGTTCGTTGTCCTCGTGGTCAGTTTCGTCGCTTCTCTCTTCTTGTTCACATGACCAGTTTGTTTGACCCCATGACCACGACTCCGCACTCTAGTTCTCCAACTTTGGACATGCTCGACGGGTCTCTGGATCCTGAGAAAAATTCACCGCTACAAGATCCCAAAAGTACCGATCCAACACAAGTGCCAGAGCCAGAAACAGTCACGGTTACAGTATCGACCGTTTCCGAAGAACAAACGGCAGCTGCTCTTGTAGGACAACAAGCGAACGCAGCTTTCGGCGATCCGGGCACTCTTCAGTTCCAATACAGAACAGACGCTACGGGTGTACAAACGGCTGGATTTAATGGAGGGTCGCAGCCAATTCGAGTCGTTCAGGTTCAAGCCACCGATCCTACCGGCGAACGAGTAGATGCCGCTACGGCTGCTTTTGCTCCCCAAGTTCAAACTGTTATCCAAAGTCCATTTAGTAATGGCTCTTCCCCTACACACACTGTGGAAGCTGAAGGCGCGGCAGATGGGGCTAGATTCACGTATTTTCAGGCGGCTGACGGCGCGACAACAGCCACAGTGGTTCAAGCTGGTACGAACGATTCTTTAGATGGTACAAGCGCCTATACAGTGCGAAACATTCCCGTGTCGCTTACTCAGCCATCTTCGCCTTCCCAAATACCAATTACAATGGCCGAAGCACAGACTATCACCACTGTCGGTACTGCTGCAGGTGGGCATATTTTTTTTTTCATTTTAATTCAAATCTTTGACCGCAACACTGCTGAAATTTGATTTCGTCGTTTTGAGTACGAATTCAAGAGATCTTGTTCTACCATGCCATAGGTGGTTTTTACGTGATGATGTCTCCGCAAGATGTTATGCCAAGCGGAAACCAACGGAACATAGCTCCTGCCATGCCTCACAAAATCTCCACGTAAGTGAAAAGTGATAGTTTTTATAGGAGAAGGAAAACTGTTTATCAAAGAAATTTATTCCTTGTATATAAGATGTTATGTTGGCTGTAAAAATTTGCTTGTCTTTTGTGGATAATCTTTTATTTATAAGGAAATTTATCATCTACATGAATATCTACAAACTACCTTCGTTTCTTTACTAAAGTTTGGTTTCGATCTTACTAAAACGGGGCATTTTTCTTAAACAGCTATCATGTTGAAATCTTAAGTTCCCTTCTGAAACATAAGTGAACAATTTGGAGGTGGTTCAGCTGGTTTATTTTTTCGATTGGTACTTAAAAAATTAATTTCTTCAAATGGTAAGCCTCAAACCTCAGCGATGTAACATGATTCGAATGATCGATGGCTGTTGTCATTGAGTCAACGAGAGTCGTCTAATTCGAAACCGTTTGGACTTGCAAAAATCTCAGAAACATCCGTGGAGATAATCATTAAGTGTATTTCCGTCGAAGAAAGTTTGTAGTGTGTTTGGAATTTGCATTAGTTTTTGAATTGAGCGGCTATAAGTCATGTGTTCAGAAACACATGATGGTTTGCTTGTCACATGATATTCTTCAATCATGTGACGGTCATGTTCGATTTACTTGGTCTTCTCGGTCGATCAAAGCATTAATCAGTCGCACGAAGGTTAGATTCGTACTTTCTACCCTCGAACGGAGTGATAGAGGTTATCAAAATGGAAGTTGTGTATGTCTTAAGTAACTCTGTTGCTCTTAACAGGAAGTTGGATGCTCCGCGAACCGCGAGGGATGAAAAAAGACGAGCGACTCATAACGAAGGTAGATTGATTAATCTCAAATTTTTGACGGTTGTTTTGAAATACGATTGTAAAGTAACATTTTGTTCAATATATCATTAGTTAAACGAAATTCTAAAGCATCTTAACACCTCAACTATTTGAGATTACTTTCTCCAATTTAGATATATTCACCACATGTCTGATCTAAGTTTTGTTAAAAATGTATTCTTGAAAGTGTTGTTACTAACTGAAAGTCATTTTAGAAAGTTTAATGGAAAAAGCTATTGTTTAGGTAGTAAAAGGTAGGCAAAAATATTGGCAGATCTCCAGAATTTTAATTTTCCACTGAATGTCATATGATTTTAAGTTGATAATAGAAGGAAGGTATGTACTCCAATTTAAAAATTGATAAATTGAGCTTGTTAAGTGACAATTTGTCAAGTTAAGTACATTTTTACATTGATTTAAAGGTGCCAGGGAAAGTGGTTAATAGAAGCAGTGTCTGATCAGCATTTTTATCAATAGACCAAATACTGGTACTTTTCTGTTCTTTTCTTTTTTTGATCATGTGTTCTCTTTGTACTTGTAAGAAGTGCTAGAGGAATACACATGATGTCCACATGACTTAACACATGGTCTGAACTTCTCCCTATTTTAATACCAAGTAATTTTAAAAAATCTGGTTAAAAATTACAATTATTTTTAATGTTTAATGCAATCATTATCATCTCACTTTAGTTGAACGTCGCCGTAGAGACAAGATAAACTCATGGATCAACAAACTTGCTAAGGTTGTACCAGAGTGCTGCACTGAGCAGACAAAAGCTGGCCAGGTTGGGGGAGCACAGAATATTGTAAGTATTTTAAATTTTTCGTCTTCTTAGTAGCCATTCTCTGGGATGTCCGATAATGCTTTCCCCAAACTAGCTACTACTTTCAACCCAACAACATTCCTATTCATGAACAGGCCAATCCCAGAGAGCTTTCTATTTCCTGGAAGGCTCTTGTGCCAGTTTTGTCCTTTTGTCCAATCAGAGTCTGTATTTTAAGGCATTATGCAACAAGTATTACAGAATAAGGGAGAAGTTTAGTTTCTAAATCTGATTCCTATCATGTTGGCGGCTTGCAAGGTGGAAATTTTTGTCATCGACAAACTTGCTAACCTGATCAAGAAAACTGACGATTTGTTATTGCTCATGTTGGATTTAATCTCCACTAGCAATGGTCAATTCTTTGTTGCTTGTCTTGTGGGTCAGTCTCTGTGCACCTCAATACTTGATTTATTAAACATTTAACTCCCAATGTATGATTGGTTCTCCCCCTAGCTGCTACATTTTTCTTTCTGGAAACCATTTTGCATCTATGTTACCAATTTGGGACTTTCAGAAGGTTGTATCACCGGTCCCAGGTTAAGCCATTCTGTTAACTCCCTGTTTCATGTTCTTGCGCAACACACTATACTCCAAGAAAGCCTTTTTTAACTCAAGAAAATAAATTGGCACCAGAAAAACTTAAGGGAAATGTAGAAATTGTAAGATCCTAGACATGATTAGTGTAGAAGTTCTTCCCACAATTTCTTGGAATAATTGAGATCGGATATTTGGAGATCATGAATTTAATCTTTTTCATGTTCCTTTTAAAGAGTAAAGGAGGTATTTTGTCAAAGACAGTGGACTACATCAATGAACTGAAATTACACAATACACGAATGGCAGAAAATATTAAAGACACAGAAAGACTTACCATAGACACAGAGCTCTTACGACAACAAGTAGAGGATCTTCGACAAGAGAATGCTCTGCTAAGAGCACAACTTCAGCAACATGGAATTGAACTAGCTACCACTGGGCAGACTGTATAAAAAACTGTCTTACCGTGAAACTCAAAATACAATGGACACCAGTATTATTTATGGGATTTAATTTGTTTCAAGAAAAAAACCCATGAGGTGACATAAAGCTAAACCACAAAAAAAAGGCAATCATTAGTTTGTGGTTTTGAGGTTTGAGCAAACGTTCATAGCTTTGGTTTCATTGGGCAATGTGAAATGAACCATTAAAACCCTAAGAGTGATGAGGATCTCCGATTTCTCCCAACATTGTCACCCCTCGATGAAAATTTAAGGTCATAAGGTAAAGGAAATGACTGCAAACTCAAGAAGCTTTTGATTATTAGACAAATTTTTTTGTAACTACCACACGAAATGTTTAGAGGACAGGTTGGAGAATTTTATTCTGGTTTTAGGGTGTAGAGGGTGAAAGAAGAATTAATCCCAATTTCCATGTTTTTTCAAGTTTCTCGGTAATAGTGTGTTACTTTTTTATTAAGCTGTCATCACCCTGTATATAAGCAATTCATATGACGGCAGTCTCCCAAAGCTTCCATGGTGAGGTTGAGATTCCTCTTCCGGTGTTCCATGAATTTTATTATAGTCACTCTTGAAGAAATAGTTTTAAGATCAATATTTGTTTTCTGAAATAACTAGTCTCTTGATTAACATAATTGTTTTGTTAGGTAAGCTATTTTATTTTCACAGTGAAGAATGTTGATCTCATTACTTTGCTGTTGTTGTTTTTTTTTGTTTGTTTGTTTTTGGGTTAAGCTAAATTGCCTTCACGGGCCAGGGTAATTTGTTCCTTACTGTGAAGTTGCAAATACTAAAATGACTTATTTTTAAGTTATGACTGTTACCTTGTGAAATATCAGGTTTCCAAAAGTATGACTTTGCAAAAATTTCATGTGGCAAGGTGCTTTACAACATACATTGTTAAAGTAAGGGTTGGTTTGATATTTGAGGTAATTGTGTTCAGTTGTAGAAAATCCTCATGTACAAAGAGAGCTCCATTCATAATTGAAAAACGTAAGGACCTTGTGCGACAGGGGAATATATTAATGCAATGCATTCCTATGAGAAATGTTTTGTCACTTGCTGCTAGATTGTTCAATTCTGAATTGCATTTCAGAAGTTGAAATGCCCACAGTCAATGCCTTTTTGACCAAACTGGAAGTAGTCATGGTGAGATTTCACCAACAAGAACTGAGCCGTGTAAGAGTGAAATTATATGCAGATCTCGAAACCTTTTACTTGACATTTATGATTGGTAACAGGAAACATGTTTGGCTTTCATGTCTATGCTGCTCTGTCAGCTTCTCAAAATACTCTATCCAGTTTTGCAGCAACTGTACCTCAGATTCCAGATGTTCACCATGTTAATTTTTAGTTTGAACAGTTTGGCTTTAAGTGTCCCACTTTGGCCATTTGCATTGTGTCTCAATCATTTCAGTGTGGCATTTTTCTACCAAACTCGCATTTTGTGGCTACTTTGAATCACTTCGAACTATAATTTTTCAGATCACATCAGATAAAAAATCTTGGGGTTACCTTTTGTAGAAGGTGATGGTGTGAAGGAGGAAACTCTGAATTTGTAAACATTTTTTTTTTTTTCTTATTTAATCTCAAACCCCCAGAATTTGTTGTGAGAGAAGCTCTGTAGAGGAATAAAATCACATAGATTTATGAAGTTAACTGAATGACAATATTGAAACAATGTACTGTAACAGTACAAAAATAAAAGTTTAAAATCAATTCACATGGTTGTTTTGTGTGCTTAAAAATTAAAGCTCTGGAACTAGTGAGTGGAGTCTGCGTTGGACAAGGAGAAAAAATATTTGCTTTCGATTGCAGTTGCCAGTTGTGGATAATCTTATGAGCGAATTTACCTCTGAAGTTTGGCTTCAATCCTGGGGCGGGCATTTAAAAACAAAAAAAATAGGCAGTTCAGACTGCATGTGGCTACTGCTACCGCATCCCACATATTTATGGGTGACCTGTTCCACAACATTGTAGTGAATAGCTGACTCTCAACCAAGAACTAGATGGCAACAAATTATTATATTAACAAAAAAGTGATATAATAAATATAAGAATGATAACAATAGTGATGATAACCTATAGAAGCTAGCTCAAGAACTTAAGTGTTCCTTTCAGTTGGTTTCTCCTTTAGGCTCCAATAATGATTAACTAGGCTTCCTTCACTTTTAATTTTGCCTTTTAATCATGGACAATTTTCTTATTTAATCGCAATTCCTTTCTTGTGAGACTTAATATACACAACAAAATACTCCTCCATTCCACCGTTCCATCATCCCATCAAATAGGGTCAACCTGTGAAACTCAAGGTATCGTATTTCGGACCTTAGTAACCCCGCAAATTTAGCAGCTCTTCATAGCATTTGTCGCTGATTAAAAAGGTAAAATGTTCTCTTTTCGAATAGATAAAATATTTCTTCAAAGTTTCCACGATGTCATTTCCGCAAGTTGAAGTCTTTTTTCAATTACTTGCCGGAGACGCCATTGTGAAATTAGACTACGAGTAAGCCGTCCTTTTCGGCTAAGTCCATCGCGCGAGTTAAAAAAAAAAAATCAGTGAAAAAAACAAATGATGTAAGTACGCTGTAGGGGAACTCTTGGTGCGGCGCTTCGGTGTCACTCCAATCGGCCACAAGTGTCCAACATCAAAAAACTACCATTAATGTCGAAAATCGTAAATTGGCCACTAGTATTCAAAATAAAAAACCGGCCACTAGTTTCTAAAACCAAAAATCGTTAGCTAGTGTTCAAAACCGGACACTAGTCCCCTGGTATTCAAAATCCAAAATCGACCTCTAGCTTCCAAAATCGGCCACTAGTGTCTAAAACCCAAAATCGGTCACTAGTGTCCAAAACCCGAAATTGTTCACTAATGTCCAAAAAGGAAAAATGGGCAGTTTAAGACTTCATATGGCTACAGATATAGTACAATTTTTATATCATTAAAAAGAAAGTGTTTGTATAATGATGCAAGAAGGTAGTTTTATAGAAGATTTGTCTCACATGCAAAACAGAAAACTTGCTGCTCCAACACTGACATTTATGAGTACCATGTTCCACAAAAGGAAGATGATTCAAGAATTTAGTGAATAATTGACCCTCAACCAATAATTTCAAAATGGTAACAAATAATAATTATTACATAAGTTACAGTAATAGCTATAATAAGCAATGATAATTTATAGGGACTAGCTCAAGAACGTAACCTCACCGTTTCTCTGTTGGTCCAACCTCTAAGCTTCAATAGTGATTAAACTATGCTTGTTTCAATGTTCCCCGTTAATTATAAAATATATTTGACTTATTTCATTGCAATAAAACAAACAAACAAACAAACGAAAGCGATGCAGGTTGAAAAACAGCAAGGTCTTGTTAACTCGATATATCGGGGACTTGTGATTAACGGATAGTCAATGACCAGAAGCACATAGCCTTGGTTATATAAATAAAAATTTTGTCCACGCAAAATGATTAAGTTCGAGTTGATATTTCTAAAATTATGGCACTATTTGCAGCTATCTAATGAATCTCTCTTGGTTGAAAATCGAGCTAAAGGAAAGCATCCTACCTCGTTTTCAAAGAACTTGGTGTCAGTTATTTTAAACACGCCTTTTGAGGACGGAAAACTCATTTGAATAACAAATAATATTCATACTTGCGCTCAATCTTGCACGTGGAAAGAGCTTACGAGATACAAGAAAGTTGAGCGTAATTTTTTAGCTTCTATGGAGTCAAGAAGCACGTCATTTCGACCTTACTACCCCGGATAATGTCTGTACTGTCCACGTCGGCGAGTGTTTCTTATGCTGGATCATATGACACAACGTAGGACAAGTACTCAGCCGCTATGACAGTTCTACTTGAGCGAGACTTTAGTGGCAACGCGAGAAATTCGCAGTTTATTGTTAGTGTCATCACCGCTTAATTACTTATTTCCTTTTTCATTCCTGGATATATTTTTCACTAGCTGTTATGATCTTAAAATGTTGACCTTGAGTGTGTTTTAATTAACAAATGGTAAACACCACAGCGTACACTATTGAGTTATGGATGCACTCGGGAGGTTGCTAAGCACGAAAGAAGCGTAAGAGTCGCTCGAGGCGATAGCCGAGAGCGACTCTAATCAGAGCGCGCGCTTTACTTTGGTTATGTTATAAACGCACTTATTCTTTCTCTTTTCCTCCAACCTCGCCAAAGAAGGGAAGGGCAATCGTGAAAATACCATAACGTAGACACTATTTTCTCGTTACCAGTAAAATTGATTCCCATCTTTCATACAGAGGTTGTAAGGGACAATAATTCCTTTTATTATCCAATTGTGCTTCGTAGAGTACAAATAACGTGCGAGACGAGTACAAATATCACGCGATATATGTACCCCAGAAATATCTGCGAAATTCGCCCGCATTGAAATGACAATTTGGCCTGTTGGATAATAAATTTCTTATTGAACGTTTTGTTGTGAGTATTTTTACTTGTTGTTTTTATTTTGACTCGCCCTACGGGATCGTCAAAATACGGCACAGCTCGTAAAAATATTCAGCGATACTACACAACAAAACATCTAATAAGATATATCTATTTATATTGTCAGGAATCCTAAAGAGATTATTTACGATTGAACTTGCTATGCAACTGCATCCCAACCAGATAGTTGTTATACTCTTTGTCGCTTTATTCACACTGCAAAAACCCCACTTTCAACTCTGGCAGCTGTACAGGACAATCCTGAATGCCGTGACAGGCCTTTATTTGGGAATCATCGTAATCATTCTCACTTAGCATACTAGATGTTAAGGCACGTTACTGCATTACACTGGTGAAATTTATGATGACCCTTTTTTCGAGAACTTTCCTTATATTTTCATTCAGCATCAAATACGAGGGCCACATCCAAAGTTTTCTCTATTTCTATATGTACTAATTTCCATTTATAAGAGCACAATCGAAGAAAGTCTTCATGGATTCTGTTTTTTTCCCTTTTTACCTCTAGAAAAGGATCGAGTATGGGATTAGAAGCTCGGAGATTAAGGAATGCAAGAGAGGAAAGAACAAAGAAGAACACTCGATAAGGTTGGTTTTTTATTGTTGTGACAAATTTTAAGACATTTTCTTCATTGTGAATCTAGATAGTTTAATAGCTTAGTGTTTTTAAGTTTCTCGACTTTTGTTTACCATGTTTCATCGTCAAATTTTAAACCTAGATGTTTTAATTGTTTAANCAACTTATTGATCGACATTCAGCACTACAAACGTCGCATAAGGAAGATTCCGACCGCATTCCATTCACTCTCACGTTTCACCCTCACAACCACTCAGTTAAATCCATCATTCTTAAAAACTTTAAATTACTTCAAAACGATCCAGAGACAAGCACTATCTTTTCGCAGCCTCCGCTCATTTCATTCAAACGCGACAAAAACATAGGCAATTTTTTGGTCAGAAGTTCTTTTCAGACTAATGACCAACCAGGCACTTTTAAATGCGCTCGTGCACGATGCAAAACGTGTCCTTTCATTCACAACACTGAGAAAATATCGGGACCCAAACGATCCATTAAGATCACCGATCACTTCACGTGCACCTCCGCCAATGTAATCTATTGCATAACTTGCACTTATTGCAAAAAGATTTACATCGGCGAAACAGGCAGAAGACTAGGTGACCGATTCCGAGAACACCTTCGCGACGTGGAGAGGAATGACAAGGACACATCGAAACCAGTCGCTAGACATTTTAATTTACCTAACCATTCTAAGCAACACATGGCAATCTGCGGTCTTTCCTTACACTTAGGTAGCACGGAAAGCCGGAAAACTCTTGAACAAAAGCTCATCTTTCAAACCGGCAGTCTAAATCCCACAGGTATCAACGAACGCTTTTCATTCCACTAATTTATTCGTGTTTTTCTCGTTGCCATGTTCCCACCAATCACGTAGCTCCTTTTTCTGCCTTTAAAAGCACACACAACCCACAATTCCCCTATTCGCTCCGACGAAGGGCTAACGCTCGAAACGTCAGCTTTTATAATCGTAACGGTGGCCAATTTACCATTTCAACTTTGTTGATATATTGAACTTATTAAGAAATTATTCAATTCCTCCACTGTCTGATTTCTTGAAACTTTTTCTGGTTGAGTTGGTGTTCATTTGTTTTCAGTAGTGTTCGTTTAATTTGATGTATTAATTGTTGGCATTGATACTTTCTGTCGGTTTGGCACCAGTGTCAAGGAAATACCTTGTCATCATTGTGCTTGTTCTGATTCAGCAGACCAATCAAGTTACCATAACAACGGTTTAGTCTATCAAATTATTTTCAAGTTCTACGATAAGAGGATAATTATAAGAATGATATCAATCTTCTAGCTTTTCCTTGATCTTTATAAAGCGATTACGCACTTATTAGCAAAGCACAGACAATTTGGGTCATCCTCGGTGGAAAAACCTGACCAGGTTTTCTTTGATTCATGAGATATTGTTTTACTGTACGCTATTGTTTATAATGTTTTGTTGTCTTTGTTTTACGTCACTCGCGAGCTTCACAGGTTTTTACTGTGATCAATTGTTTTGGTTTGAATATGAATATAGTTTATATCTGACCACTTGCAGCCCAGAGGCTGAATTACGGGTACAGCGTAAGGTTGAGAACAGACGTCAGCTTATCAGGCGCCTCTGGCATGCGCTTCAAGGTATAGGCCTAGTATGTTTCACGTCTGC